TCGTCGTCGTCGATTTCGTCCGCCCTCTGCGACAGGCTCAACGAAGAAAACGCCACCAGCGATTACTGCGTCTGGTATCTTCGGGTGATCACATCGGTCTACCTCAAGTCGGATCCGAACCGATTCGTCCACTTCCTGGACGATCCATCGTACACGGATGTAGCCACGTATTGCACGAGAGAGATCGAGCCCATGGGGAGAGAGTGCACCATGGTCGGTGTGCTGGCGCTGGCAGAGGCCTTTCGCATCCGSGTTGACGTCGAGTACATGGACGGCAGACCTCTGGGCAATGGCGGGAAGCTCACCAAGCATACGTTTGGCGTGAATGCGAACGACGGCAGCAGCCTCGATGGCGTAAATTTGGGTTTGTTGTGCATAACGTTGCTGTATCGGCCGGGGCATTACGACATCCTCTACAAGTAGGAGTAGGTTTGGTAGACCAACAAATTTTCCAAACAAAACGATGCACACTGCGGGCGTAGCCCAACAAAGCATTTCGTGCGTTGATGTTGTTGCTATTCATTCACTGAACGATACAGTAGATTATTGTTTCGGATCTTTGCTTGCTACAATCCTACTCATTTGTTACTACAAATAGTTACGCAAGGATTGTTGCAGGATAAATCGGTGCTGACTAAGCCCTAAATGTTGCGTCGAACACCCGACAATGTGGCTTGTGCCTGCATTACCACATTCATGCCGCGCTGTAAGATGCCATGGATTCCAAAGGAAGAACGAACAAAACATTTTCTTCAATAAATCGCAGTGTACGATTTCATTGCTACAAAAATTATCGGTACGGCGAGTTGCGATTGGTGTTGGTTTTCGTTTGTTCGGTCGTTCGTTCTTGTACATATATAGTTTACTACTGTTTGTTCCCCGCTGTTCGCCACGCCACTGTTTCGTTTGCCCTTGCCCTTGCCTTGCGCMGCGTTGCTCCGCGCCGAGCTTCTGGCACCGCACCGCCCGAGCCCCTGCGGTGCCTTCCTAGACCGCCATCTTCATGGCCACCTTGCCGTGGGGGTGGTAGCCCACCACGTGCAGGTCGCTGTAGGAAAAGTCGTCGATCGTCTTGTCCCTCCCGGGATCGTCGATGAAGAGCTTGGGAAAGGCCCGGGGGGCCCGCTCCAGCTGCTCCTTGAGCGGCTCGACGTGGTTGAGGTAGACGTGGGCGTCCCCCAGCGTGTGGACCAGCTCCCCGGGCTTGCGCCCGGTCACGTGGGCCACGAGGTGCGTCAGGAGCGCGTAGCTGGCAATGTTGAAGGGGACCCCCAGGCCCATGTCGGCCGACCGCTGGTACATGTGGCAGCTGACCTCGTCGGTGGTCGTGTCGACGTAGAACTGGCACAGCAGGTGGCAGGGGGGGAGGGCCATCTCGTCCAGGGCGGAGGGGTTCCAGGCGCTCATGAGGATCCGGCGGTCCTCCGGGTTGTGCTTGATCTTGTCGATGCACTCGGCCAGCTGGTCGACGCCCTGCCCGGTGTAGTCGGTGTGCATGTCCTTGTACTCGGCGCCAAAGTGCCGCCACTGAAAGCCGTAGACGGGGCCCAGGTCGCCCTCCTCTCGGTGTCCSAGCCCGCGGGCCTCGAGGAATTCCTTGGAGGCGTTTCCGTCCCAGATCCCGATGTTCTTTTCCTTGAGGAGGTTGGCGTTGGTGCTGCCGGAGATGAACCAGAGGAGTTCCTCGGCGACTCCCCTCCAGAAGGTTTTCTTCGTGGTCAGCAGCGGA